TTAACCTTCTAAACTTCTCAAATTAACACAATAAACAACATCCCAGAAGGGTAAGGGCATGTCCTTTTCACCCCAAGAGGCAAACTGCTGAGTCTCTTAGCCAAACCTCTAGATTCCCCAAGTTGACACAATGTATCAACCATAACACTTACCATGAATTCCCATCACCCGAAGCCATGATACTTAAAATGAGGGATATAAAACTATGACCACAGTAAACTGGGAAAAAAATTGTTTTCCAAACAGTAAGTCTAAAAAGCAATTCCAAATAGCATAAATTATGAACATAGTACAAAACAATGCAAAAGTCACACTAAATTTGGAGACATTTAGAGTCCAATAAAACTTTACAATCTTCTGGGTAGACATGGTGACCCATGCCCACAATCCTTACAACCTATGAGGTCAAGGCAGGGTGACTACAAGCTTGAGCCCCACCTTGGCAACTGAGTGACTTAGTGAGATCCTATCTCAAAATAAAGGTTTTTAATAAAATCTGGGAGATTTAGCCCAAGAACAAAACCCTGGGTTCAATTTCCAATGCTGGGGAAAAACAAAAATAGTACTGGGGATATAGGCAGATGTACAGCACTTGCCTAGCACGTATAAGTTCCTAGGTTGGAGTCCTGGCACTACAAAACAAAAAAACTTTATGCCTCTTAAAGGGTTTATTTGGCACATATCCCAGTACAAAAAAAAAAAAAAAAAGATTTAGTTAGATTTTAGGTGTACCTATCATAGTAGTATTTGTTTACCTCTGTTGTTAAAAGTTCAGTGGAGGGGGCTGGGGATTTAGCTCAGTGGCACAGTGCCTGCCTGGCAAGCGCAAGGTCGTGAGTTTGATTCCTGGTACGGGAAAAAAATAAATAAAAAAGTTCAGTGGAAAAGGTGAAGTACTAAACTGTGGTAACACTGAAGGTTATTTTTCACAGCAACCTAATTTAATGTGAAATTTTTTCTCTTAAGCTACACTACCACAGTATGCTTTATCCCTCTTTATACCCCCTTGGAATAGGCTGAATAATGGCCCCCAAAGACACCCAGGTCCTAATTCCTAGAACCTAAGAATGTTTCATCATATAACAAAAGGAGTGTTATGAATCTAATTAAGTGCCTTTAGATGGAGCAACTGTCCTTGAAGAGTGGGCCTATACAGAACCATAATAGCTCCACAAAAGGGAGACAGAGGGAGATTACAGAAGAGAAGGTGACAGAAGCAGACGCTGAAGTGATATAAGGACTCAGAAGAAATATAGCCAGCAACTAGATCAAAAACAGTAGGAAATGGATCTTCCTCTCAGAGCCTCCAAAAAGAATCAGGCCTGCAACATCTTGATTTTAATCCAGTGAGAATGATTTCAGCCTTCTAACCGCTAAAACAAAGACAGGTTAGCCCTTGCACATACAGTGATCCCTCTACCTATTGCAGGAGTTACGTTCCAGAGACCCCCACAACAGGTGAAAACCCTCGAAGTAGTGGCATTATATTTATTTTATTATTTATATATATTTTAAGGCTTTATAAGCCCTTCCTTAAAAAATTTTCCCATTCTCTTATTAACCTTTCCCACTCTTATGAACACTTCATATGCTCTTAAACACCTTCTACATGCTTAAACCAACGTAATTTTAACAACATGTAAAATTCTGTATGGGTACTCACCAGTGAAATATACTACAACTTGAATGATGAAGATCATGAATTATGTAGCTGTGCAGTACTGACGGTGATGAAGGTGATGATGAGATGAATGTACTGCACAGCCAAGAATAGCATTACAGCTCTTTTGAAGGCACCACTTCATCAGGTGGTTCAGTATCTTCGCCCTGGGCTGTAACTGATTTCTTCTTTCAAGTGATGAAGGGGCTGGGGATTTAGCTCAGCAGCAAAGCACCTGCCTGGCAAGCGCAAGGTCGTGAGTTCGGTTCCTGGTACCAGAGAAAAACCAAAACCAAAAAAAAAAAAAGTGATGAACATAGTTATGGGGAGTTGCTGGTGCCGCTTTTTCTTTTGAGTGAGATTTTTATAAAGTGACATGCCACTCTCAATTGTATTTACGAAGTGCAATGAATGGAGCATCTGCGGGTCCCATTCTTCAGCCATTTCCTGAACTTCTTCGGCCATTCTGACCACGGTTGCAAGATCATCGAGTGTTAGGCCAACCTCCTCCTCTTTTCCAACCCATAGTTCATCTTGTTCAGGCTTATAGCCCGCTTCCTCAATGATGGATTGGAACATATCATTCATGTACTTCTCGGCTCCAGTTTTATCCACAGAGGCAGCTTCTCTATGCAGAGAAATGCTCTCGGGTCCAAAGCATCTCTGAAATTTGTCAAACCACCCCTTGCAGGCACTGAATGGTGTTGGTCTGGTGGGAGAAGCACTCGATGGTCGATGGTCGTGCTTCTGCATTGTCAGCCTCATCTTCATCCTCCTCACCATCGTGAACGTCTGTGCTTTCTGCAAAACTATCATGAAGTTTCTTGGCCTTCGTCCTGATAGCATTAGTATCCAGCAAGACATTCTTCTTCCTGTAGTCATTTATCCACAGGGCTAAAGCAGACTCCATCCTCACAATGGCCTTATTGTGGGAAGTGACCACCCTCTTTGCAGTCTTGTTAAAAGTCACTGTTGCTGTAAACCTAACATCCTTCCCATTCTTCTTTATGTAGCGAACAGTAGATTCGTTGATCCTGTAATAGAAGCCTACAGCCGCACTGCTTTTGCCTTCCTTTAACATGTCAAGAAGTTCCACTTTTTCTTTTATGGTAAGCATCTTTCTCTGGCACTTGGGTTCACTGTAAAAAGCCTTAGAAGGAGCGGGACGTTTGGGTGGCATCGTAGGGCTTGAAATAAATTCAAACTTTTACAAAAATTTCACAAAAACACAATACCACAGAGCAGCGCTATGCACAGCAATCAGACGTTGATGTGAAGAGGACAAGGAGAGATGCTGAAGTATGGGCACAATGTGGGAGAGCAAACAGACTGATGCTGCAGTCACTGAACCAATCAGTGCCCAGGATACAGAACACAGTGCTGTGGTTGGCTGCCTTCTATTCCATCAGCCAATAGTATGCTGTGTATAATCTCACGTTGGCAAACTTGTACAAGTGGTAGTGGCATACTCCATTTCCATTCTGTACAGTATGCTATTCATCCACTGATGAAATACATACTGTATTTTATTTATTTATTTATTTATTTTGTACTGGGAATCAAACTCATGACCTCAGGCTTGCCAGGCAAGCACTTATGCTGCTGAGCTATATCCCTGGCTTATACTGTATTTTACTTAGATTTAATATTCTTTTAATATGTTTGAATTAACATTTTTTATATTGTTTTAAATTTTTTAGGCAAAAGTAATTAAAACCATAAATATTATATAAATACCTACATACCACAAAATCCTGCAATATAACGAAAACTCCACAATACAGAATTACATATACATACATATATTTTTAAACCCATAATACAGTGAAGCTGCAATGAGTGAACTGAGATATAGCAAGAGATGACTGTATTCCATTCTAACATACCAGTAAACTGACTCAGTATGGAGATAATTCTGATTTCTCTTATTTTTGCTACCAAGTGAAAATATAGAGAATTCACTGAAAATGTAGTTCTTTCCAGCATCATAGTGAAAATGCAAAAAAAGCAGTGTCTTAAGTTTGTAGTATTAGTGGCAGAGAAAGTCAAGATTTTAGGTTAAAACAAAGATACACAACTTACCCCATAAATACTAGGTGAGAGAACTCAGAAAAGTAATAATGTGGGCTGATCTGCCTTTCCTTTTTGCCACACAGAACAGTCTAAGCTAAGACCTCAAACCTGACTCTTCTCACCTCTGCTCACAGGGGAAAAACTGTCCTCATCCCTGGGCTAGCCAACTCAAGGTCCCTGTAGGCTGAAGAGAAATTTCACATTAGTATTACTGGGCTTCACACTATCAGTTTCATTCTGCGAAGTAGTTCAAAAAAATGGGAAATGCAGTAACAGTCAGACGTAACTGGTTTGTGTGTGTGTGTGTGTGTGTGTGTTTCAATAATTTACATTTTACATCGATTTTCTCACTTGATCATCACAGCTCTAGGAAGTAGTCAAGTTTGGTACTAACTCTGCAGTGCAGAATCAGAGAATGACTTACCCAGTAACTGCCTCCAACCCTGAGGTTTTCCCACGGGATCCTTCTACCTCCAGAACAGTAACTCACTTCTAGGTACGTTGTATTCACTTTTAAGCAATTTCAACTTAGGAAAGAAAACAGAAACAGCATCTTACAAGGCCATCTTCACCGTACATCCATGCTGAACGCCACGCTCAATTTGTCAGAGCGGAAGACAACACACACCAGACTAACTTAACCCGTAAGTCTATTTCTTCCCAGGAAAATGAAAACACAAACATCACCCCCCTTCCAGAGAGACAGCCCACATCATCTTTTTTTTGTCTTTTTGAGACAGGGTCTCGCTGTGCAGGTCAGGCTGGCCGTGAGCTCACTTTGTAGCCCAGGCTGGCATCGAACTCGCAACGATCCTCCTGCCTCGGCCTCCCGAGTGCTGGGGTTGCAGGCGTGTGCCACCACGCCGGGCATGGCCACATCATTTCTGAGATAAAAACCAAACTCAGGAAAGTAGAATTTAACTCAACCTTAGCCCGGTAGTGCCATTTCATAAAAATAGCACCTTAAAAAACAGAACTTAGCTCAACCCATCACCTTCACCCACGGTCCCTCCTGTGCCATCACCCTGACCCGCTGTGCCCCCACCCGGCGACCCACGTCTAAGCCCAGAGCCCTGCACACAGCCCTGGGCAGCCCTGGTGCACGGCGGCCGGAGGCAATAAAGCCTTCACCTTAACGTCCGTCGCGGCTGGCTACCGCGCGGGTTTGGCCAGGAGTCTCCTCAGACCCAACGCTACCGACTTCCAGAGAGCCCGAAGTGCCCCACCCCCGGCGCTCCCCGCCCCAGGGGCTCGGCAACGCCGGCTTCCTAATCAGAGCAGGCGCCGTCCCTGTCGGTCCCTCGCCCAGCCCCGCCTTTGCGCGTACCTCAGCAGCGACCCACACTCGGAGCTGAAGGGAAAGCGCGTGCTGCCGCGGCTCAGACCCGACGACCGGAACCCCGCCCCACACCGCTCCACGCGCGAAAGCGCTAAGAACAAGGCACCGGATTGGCCAGAAGCATAGACGCGGGGCACACCGCCGGGCAATGAAAGAGGCTGGGACTGGAGGGCCCGTAGCCTGCCGGGAGGTGGGCTTGCTCGCTCCCGATTGGACGACAGCGGGACATCCGCGCCTGCGTAGATCCAACTTCCTCAAAGCACCACACAGCACCGCCCCACCCGACACGTCAAATGAGATTTCAAGGACCCCATTGGTTGGGAAGAGCGCTCTGGCTGCGTGACCAATAAAGGACAAGAATAAAGGGGGTTCCACCTCTTCCTCTGTGGACAGGATATTCTTGTTGCTGCTCCGGCCTATTTACCTTTAGACGTTAGGAAGAGCCCTTACCGTTCCATTTGTGGGTCGACAATTTTCATGGTAACTAAGAGGAGTCTACTGAGAGTCTGAAATATGTTGGAACTCAAAAGCAAGCCCCGAACACGACACACGCACAGAAGACCTCGAAAATACTTCTAGGTCTGAACGCGGAAGAACCAGTCCTTCCCGCCCTCCCTAGTGGGAGTTCTCTGGCTGCCATTGGAAGACTGAGTTATCACTTTGGAGATAGTACCGCCTCGGCCAAGGGGAATTCTGGGATTTGTAGTCCGCGATTCTCGGGTCGTGTAGCTTTAAATGGTGGTGTTGCTGCTGAGACTTTATTGATGGTAATTCCCGCTGACGTTTCTGTGGCTCTGGTGTTCGCCAAGCGTTTTATCCTTTGGTTCGTCAGTACCGTTAAAGGCAAAAAACTTGGGGGAAATGGCAAGACTTGGAGTGCGTTCGTAAAGGGTGAACGTTACTGTTTCCTTTTTTTTTGTCTTTTTAAGGCAAGGTCTCCCTATGCAGTTCAGGCTGGCCCTGAGCTCACTTTGTAGCCCGGGCTGGTCTCGAACTCGCAAGGATCCTCCTGTCTCAGCCTCCCGAGTGCTGAGATGACAGGCGTGCTCCACCGCGCCCGGCTAACATTACTGTTTCCAACAAACGTTCTGCTGAATCCTGGCGCTCCGCTGGATGCTCGTGACTGCTGTGTACTTTTTTTTTTTCCTTACACAGTCCAAAGATTCCTGCCGTCACAGTCGAATGTCCTTGATGCTCATTTTGATGCCCATTTGAGGCTATTTGGACAGTAGCCTGAATTAAGAGTGCCGCATGCTACGACATGGAGAGCAGCCGTTCACAAAGGCCGAGGGTTGCCGGGACGGGAGCTGGAGTGGGCGCTGTCCTGACAGGAGGACGCGCACTATGGAATCAGAGGCTGTCATGTGAAAGCCCTTCTCAGCCGTTACTGAGACAGTGTTTCATTTGTGGCCCCAGCAAAAGTAAAAAATCAGTTTTTAAATACCAAAACTTTCCTGAGTAGATTGTCATTGTCACAAGTTTTTTTTTGTTTTGTTTTGTTTTGTTTTGTTTTTCCTATTTAATATGTAACGGGAACTGTTTGGACTGTGTAAGGAAAAAAAAACATGATGTGGGATGCCTGAGAGTTCTGTGGTAGGCTGGGGTGGCGCATGCCTGTAATCCCAGCACTCGGGAGGCTGACTCAGGAGGATTGCCGTGAATTGGAGGGCAGCTGGGGCTAGATACTGAGTTCAAGGCCAGCCTGAACTACACCGCGACAACCTGCATCAAAAAAAATAAAAAAAAAAAAAAAAAAAAAAAAGTTCTGTGTTTCTAAGTTACAAAGCTAAGCAAAAACTGTTTTAATTACTGATGCTTGGAATCAGTGTATTTTATTTGAAAATCGAAGAATCTTAAAAATCTTTTTCAAAATGAGAGGTTTAAGACTGTAAATGAAACACTACAGATATAGCTCCAATATACTACCAATAAATAAAGTACCAAATTAAGTGTAATCAACACTCTATTTCTCCTTTTTAATGTTCTCTGATGTACAAAGTGAAATGTAATGCCGGGTGTGGTAGCGCACACCTGTAATCCCAGCACTCAAGAGACTGAGGCAGGAGGATCATTGCAAGTTCAAGATCAGCCTGGGCTACAAAGTGAGCTCAAGGCCAGCCTGAACTGCATAATGAGACCTTGTTTCAAAAAGACAAAAAAAAAAAAAAAAGTGAACTGTGTAGATATGGTGATGATCACACAGGCAAAAAGTAGAATTACCTATTTTAATGCTTTTCATTAACTAGCATTTTCCTTTTGCCTTCTATTTTGTTTTGCTCTCCTGGCTGGATATCAGTGATCCAACTGGGACGTTAAATGTCACATGACTAAGAAAAATATTAAAAACCCTATCAAGGGTCCCACAGAGGTTTAAGATATCAAGGCTCTTCCTGTGGTTAGCAGTGTTCACTGAGTGATAAATCAACAGACCGAATTACAGGCAGTTTGTCTGATTTGTATTAACCTAAATGTAAGTTTCGTTCAATAGGCTTGTTTTGTTTCATGTGCAGGGCATTTGCCTATGTGTATAGACATGTTTGGTTTTCTTTTTCTGTTGCATACATACCGAAAGGTAAAACAGTTGATTCCTATGGTAACTATTAACATTTTGTGGGGGTGTGCTAGGGATTGAAGCCAGGCTCTATCACTGAACTACATCCCCGCTCCTAAGTATTCTGTTCTTTTCTTTACTTTTTTTGGTGCTGAGAATCAAACCCAAGTGCACTCTACCACTGAACTAGGTCCTGATCCCCCACCCTCTTAAATTTTTTATTTTGACATAGGGTCTCAATAACTTTCCCATGTGGGGCTCAAACTTGATATCCTCCTGCCTCAGCCTCCCCAGTGCTGATTACAGGCTTGTGTCACCATGCCTGGCTAAGTGTTCCCTTTTAAAGAGAAAGTACTTTAATTATGGTAATTTTTTGAGAATTTAAAAGTCCACATTGAAGCAGGCACAATTACTGCTTTTAACGCTGTGAATGGCTAGGTCAACTTTTTTTTCCCTCCCGCTTGAGACAGGGTCTCACTATATAGTCCAAACTGACCTTGAACTCACTATGTACCACAGGCTGGCCTCGAACTCTCAATGCTCTTCCTGCCTCAGCCTCCCGAGTGCTGGGATGACAGGGGTGCACCACCACACCCGGCTCAAATGTTTTTATAGCCATTTTATCAGAAAGAAAATTACAGGGGCATGGTGATCTAGGCTTATAATTCCAGCACGCAGGAGTTTGAGGCAGGAGGACCACAAATTCAAGGACAGTCTAGACTACATAGTGAGAATTGGTCTCAAAAAAATAAAACAAGAAACACTGAATTTTCATTTCCAAATTAGAAAATGAAAGGAAAGAGGCTGACTGCTTCTGTTTTTTGTTTTTGTTTTTGTTTTTGTTTTTGAAACAGTAAATTGCACGGCCTGGGCTACTCCTGCCTCAGCCTATCAGAGTGCTAGGATTGTTACTGGGTTTTGGGTACCGGAGTCTCCTTCTGGAGGTAGTTTCTAGGTTCTTTCTGACCTAAACATAGAATTGGTCAAGACAAAGACAAACTGTAACAGAGTTTTACATTAATGACAGGAGTTCGAATCCTGGTACAAAAAAAAAGAAAAATACATTAATGAGAGGAAAAAGACAGGCTCTGCAGAGCAAACTTGGGCCAAGTAAAAGTACAGAAACAAGTATCCCAGCTCCTGCAGCCTGAGGGTGGGCCATCCTACAAGATGGAACACAGCAGCAGGCGGGAGCTCAGTGTGGGTGACCCTTTTGTATCATCCACTCCTCAGGCTGGGTCAGGACCAGGCCATCCTATCAGAGCACCTTCCAGTTCTCCCAAGAAGCACAGGGAGCTGCTTCTTGGGAGAACTGCTCTGCGCATGTGTGCAGGTCAGGCCCGCTTCCCCAGCCAGCCTGCTGTGCCCTGGACCTCAGGATTATAAGCATGTACCACTGCACCCCAACTCTGAGTGCTATTCTTAAACTGAACACTTCAGTAAAGAGCTGCCGGAGTTTTCTGTTTGTGTTGATGCAGTTTTTAGAGCTGGAGGCTGAGTTGAGGGAGCACTAAGCTACAGCACCCAGCTCTTTTTATTTTACTATGAGGCAGTCTTGATAAATTGCCCAGGCTGGTGTCAGACTTGGAATCTTCCTCCCTCAGTCTCCCAGGTAGATGAGATTACAGGTGTGGACTATCAAACCTGGCTTCAAAGTTTAAGAAATAGTTTTCCATTACAGTATGCAGGGTTTAAATCATAGTTTAAGAAACTATTTACCAGTAAGAAGCATATAAAATATGGAACATAAAAAACAAAAAAAGAAAATGTAGCTGGGGATTTAGTTTAGCAGCACAAGTGCCTGCCTGGCAAGCATGAGGTCCTGAGTTCAATTCCCAGTACCAAAAAAAAAAAAAAAAAAAAAAAAAAAACAAAAAGAAAGCCCCAACTGTACCATGTGCTACTTGCAAGTTGTCATTCTCAGTCACTGTGTCAGGGCCTGACCAGAGAAGCAGAAGTAGGAGAAGTACTCA